ACGGGAGCCGGTGGGAGCGGGGAAGCTTTGGGGGCGAGAAGGCGGTTCTTTGCCCCGCGCCCAGCCCGCCGGAGTTAGAAGCTACTAGTTGGGGATCTCTTTTCCCTCTGGCACCCACGGAGGGGCAAGGATACCAAACACCTGGCCCCCTCCGCGTTGGCTCTGAGAGCCACCGCCTCCCCGAGGGCACCTGCGCTCTCCGGGGCCTCTGTCGGGGACAGAGATAGACAGAATGCCCTGGGGACGCGGCAGGGACGGCGCCTCTCCCCCCGCCTCGCACTGGGCACTGACCATTTTACACCCAGGGGCAGAGGTGGGGCAGGCACCCGTCTACTTTCCCCCCCGACGACGCGTCCCCCCCCCCGTGGAGAGCCACCCGCGCCAACACGGTGGCTTTTCTTTCTCTTTCCCGGCTCTGCGGCCCTCTTCCTGCGCCCCAGGCGCCGGCGACCTGACCGGCGACCCCCTGGGCTACGTGACGGGCGTGCTGGCGGTGCTGGTGCACGCCGCCTACCTGGTGCTCATCCAGAAGGCCAGCGCAGACACCCAGCACGGGCCGCTCACCGCGCAGTACGCCATCGCCATCTCCGCCACCCCGCTGCTGGTCGTCCTGTCCTTCGCCAGCACCGACGCGATCCAAGTCTGGGCCTTCCCCGGCTGGAAGGACCCCACGATGGTCTGCATCTTCGTGGCCTGCGTCCTGATCGGCTGCGCCATGAACTTCACCACGCTGCACTGCACCTACATCAACTCGGCTGTGACCACCAGCTTCGTGGGCGTGGTGAAGAGCATCGCCACCATCACGGTGGGCATGGTGGCCTTCAGCGACGTGGCGCCCACCTCTCTCTTCATTGCCGGGGTCGTGGTGAACACCCTGGGTTCCATCATTTACTGTGTGGCCAAATTCTTGGAGACCAGAAAGCAAAGCAACTACGAGGACCTGGAGACGCAGCCGCAGGGGGAGGCGGCGCAGCCAGGTGGAGACCAGCTGCCTTTTGTCATAGAGGAGCTGCCGGAGGAGGTAGCTGGCGGGGCAGAAGGTGGAAAGGTAGCAGGTGGCTCGGCTCAGCAAAGGGGGCAAGGGGTGAGGGGCAGCCCCAGAGGAGTCCCCCTGGCGGCTAGTGCCTGGCAGATGGCAGACAGCGCTGAAGACGCCAGCAGGAGGTCACTGAAGGATGCTTACCTGGTAGTGTGGAGGTTAGTCAGGGGAACCAAGTATGTGAAGAAGGATTATTTGATAGAAAATGAGGAGTCACCCAGTCCTTGAAAAGGAAACGCATGTATGTAAATGTGTACATAGATACTTATTTTATATGTTAGAGACAACATATTTTAATGTGGGGCTGCCCAGTTTTATTCTTTGAGGAGTGGGGCAGGGAAGCAAAGAAAGAATCTGAACCAGACTGGCAGCAACCAAATTAGCACTGGTGTGAATTATTTAGCGTCAGTTCACCTGAGGCATAACAAAGACAAAAGAATATGAAGGTGCTTAACAAAATAAAACAGTGGGTTCAGCTGCAGACTCTCAGCACATTTTTTTTGACATTATAACCACAACCAAATATCTGCATGTACTGAGTCCCTCAACCACCCTCAAAGATGGAGTGGAGAAATGATGGCAGCAGGTAATGAGCTCAAAGATTACATCCAAGGGCACATTTTTGATGCTAGAACTACAGTTTTTTATGGCCAGCTGGGCAAAGAGTATATTATTGAAAAGATATATAAATACACTGAATTGATGTTTACTGTTTATAGTCATCTGAAATATCATGTTAATTCTAATTTTCTTCACTTGTTTTTAAACAATAAGTGTTCTACTATTCTATTATATATTGGTAAGAAATGTCAAAGCTATTTTGAAAATATGAGTTCTTAGCTTTAATCATCAAGTTTAATGTTGGCTTTTAGTAATTACTATAAAAATATTTTAAAAGTTGTTTTGGTTCACTGCTTTGTAATATTTATTATTGAATGCCATGACCTTTTTAAATACCAGTTTTACTGTGTCCAATATTCTTTGAAGCAAATGCAATGGCTGAAATAGAATTCAGCATTAAGAAGCCCAAACAGAAGTAAAACCTTCCTATTAAGCTAGTCCTTGCAAATCGCATTGCACATTCCAAACCTTGTTACAGAAAGAGCAACTGCTATATTCACTTGATATTTTTCTATCTTACATTTGTCGAAATAAAGTCTGAGTCTATCTGCTAAAAGGCATATTGTTAGACATTTGTTGGAGACACGTTGATGTTCTGTTGTTGCTGTGTAGCTTGTGTTTGCCTTCAATGTGTGGTGTCTAGCATCTGGTATGTAGGGGTCACCCCCTTGGGAACTTCCAAAATTAGCATGGTGGTTTAGTTTAACACAAATAATACACTCTCGTTTTCCAGCCAAGAAAACCATTATAAAGTAAAATAAAATACTGCCTCATGCTGCAGCATGAAAGCCATCCACAGCTGACGTCAGTTCAAGTGGAGTTTGAGATGGAAGAGCAGAGTCTTCTGGCCAGCCCCATCCCGGAAAGGTACTTTGACACTAAAAGCACTCTCATTATTTGCCAGTATGTACCTGAGACTCTCAGGTGGTGGCATCCTAAATTTTTCTTTATTTTCCAAAAATCTAAACAAAACAAAAAGCAGAGCCAGAAATGGAGTTTCAGCTCCATCAGTGTGACTCGACAAGCAGGTAAGCAAGTGCAGTTGTGGTGGTTTGTGATTGCTCCTGGTTTACTGGTTTTCACGGGCAATTGATCATTTCCATAGGCACCTCTAGAAGATAGTTAAGATGTAGGAGCTCTCATATGACTGCTAGGGTTATAATGACTTCTTAAGAATAAGTGTTTATGTTATTTAATGAAATTAATTAATGAGAATTAGTGAAAAGCAGCAAAGTTGAAGGAAGTATATATATTTTTGTTAATACCACTGTCAGGTAAATGGATAGAACGATTATTTTTCACTGAAAAAAAATCTCTTTTGGTTAAAACTGGGGGTTTGTATTTATTGCGAAAAGATTAACTCCTTCCTGTAAACAAACATGTCCCGGCACTGTATCAGTTAGAGTTTACCGGAGAAATGGAACCAAGAAGTTTGGGCCTCTTTAAGAACTCCTGCTTAGTTTGTTACCCTCCATCTCCTTCAGCTGTAATCCACTCAGTTCTATCATTAGCTCTGCCCTTTAACTGCTCTTTGCCCTCGAGGAAGTCACTTTCCCTCTCTGTGCTGCAGTAGCCTCACCTGGACAATGGGCCACAGCTGCTCCTCCCAGGAGGGCATTCTGCTTCCTAGTCAACACCCCTGCCTCACCACCCTTCCCTCCCCCAGCCTTGCAGGGACTGCACAGTCCCTTATGGACCACTTGCATGGACTCTGGACAGGCCTTTGCTGTCCTGTCTCCTTCTCAATCCCAGCTGTCACAGTCCCAGCAGGAAAGAGAGGGCACACACAAACCATTGCCTGGAAACAACTTTGGCAAAGAGACTGTTGACAGGTGGGAGAGCAGGGCCAGACAGCCAACCAGGGAGATGGCACCCCAGAAACAGACCAATTGAGGTCTCAAGGGGGTGGGGCCACGTGGTAAGAGGACACTTGAACAAGGAGGCGGGACCCTTGCTCAGCCAGCTGTAGGCATCTGATCAAGGGGGTGGGGCCACGTGGACACCCGGAAGTGGGCAGTGAACAAGCTGATGGAGCCAGGTGAACTGCCAGGAGTGGGCATGTGAACAAGAGGGTGGGACCATGTGAAGGGCCTCAGCCGTGGGCAGCTCTTATGATACTGGAGCTTTGTTGGTGTGCTGGGAGTAGGGGATGGGAAGGGTTCTACAATCTTATTATTTTTCAGTCTTTTAGCCTGTGTCCCTGGTTCTGTGACTTTCACGAGTGTTTCTTAGCCTTTCTTTTTTCCTCCCCTTAGATGAGACAGGAAGGCCAGAGGGGTGTAGAGTGGGAGAAATGCCCTTTCCCCAGGGTGGGATAAGACCCTGGGAAGTCTTTTCCCCTAGAGAGTAGTTTTTCTTATGGAGAACCCTCTTGGTATCCTATATAATAAAAGGCTAATATGCAAATTGCCCTCAATTGGCGCAGGCCGGCAGGACCCCGCCTGTGCACAAATTTGTGTACCGCGCCTCTAGT